GTACCTAAAAGGGTGGACACTAATAGGCATAGTACCTAGAGCAAGTAGTATTTTATGATCTACCTCTAAATGGTGGTAGGCCAATGGCTTCTAAGAAAGACCCCAAGATTAAGAGCCTCATGTTTTGCTCCAAGGTGTCTGAGCTCCCTAGATCTCTATTATTTGTTAGTTGATATATTTTGATAAGTATATCACCCCTCTTGACTCCTCATGTGAGCACCTTGAGTGTGTGGGCTCCTAGAACTTCTAAGAAATCTATGTTCAAGACCACCTACTTAGACCCTATTTGGAAGGATATCATCTAGCTCTCAAAGTCCAATTCAACTTTCTTTCAAGACTACATCTAACAAAGGCCAAGAATCACATCCATGGTTTCTAAGGATAAGATCATGAACTGGTTGCAAATCGTTGTGGCATGTATGTCAACTAAGATTCCATGACATGCCTACGTGCTGGTCACTCTTTCCCCATGCTTGTGATCACTTGAAAGTTTTGAGTGTTTTTAATCAACAAGTTGACTTCTCAAGACAAAGATTGATCAATAAAATTATGGGTGGCCCTACTATTCACCAAGATGATGATTGTTTGTCTATTAATAATTCCGTATAATTTAAGGGATCAGATGAGTTCCTCTCTAGACAAGGAATGTAGTGTTACCTCTAAGTGTGCCAAACTTCCTTCATTTGCCATGGTAGAGGCTCATCTTCACCTATCTCTTATGACTCTGGCAAATGATCAAAGGAAGAGAACATGATGTGCAGTTCTCTCTAATGGTGGCCTGATAAGAATTTCTCATTGCCATGATAGCACAGCCCCTTGAGGCATATGCTTGGATCTCGACTATTAAGAGATTCAATCTTCTCCTTCAGTCGGGTTGATCATCTTCTTGAGATGGGGTGGGGGCCCTATGAGATCCTCCTCCACTTTCTTAGACTTTGCTACATGTGGCCACTTGAGGTCGAGGTGAGATGCTCTTATTTGTATCATTTAAATGGTCAAGATTTTTCCTAGAGCTCTCATTTCAATCAATGTGCTGACCTTAGTTTTATGCATTGGGCAGTTTGCAACATCACCTCCAAACTTGTTGGATTTAAGGTGCAGACTTCTACTTAATATCATTATAGTTCCTTTGAGGAAAGATTATTCTAGTACCTCTTTAAGAATGTTTCTCATAGATAACTCTAGATAGCAACTCAAAGTCTTTGATATATTCATTTATGGTGCCTTCTTGATAAGCTCTAGAAACATTGATAGAGTGTTTATCTTCTTGGAGCTGAATCAGATCAATAACCACTATTTCAAGTCTTTCTAATTTCAAAAAGGCTTCCATTCTTTCACCCATTTGAACCAATGTAAGGTTCATCCCTCCATATTAAGGTAGGCTTTGACAAGTTTGTCATATGTATTTTAACGATGTATTGTAATAAATTTTCAGTATGGAACACCCATCCTTCCAAGTTGCAGCTAATAAAACCTATAAGTTTTTGCCATCATTTTTTGTTAGGGTTGCTGAGGGCCCATGAATAGGGTTCTCTTGATGCCTTACACATTGCAGCATAGTGCCCACACACAGTGGCAGAAAATATGTGTGCACTGGCATGTCATACACAAAAAGACACGGCAATGTTGTGCACAATTATGTTATGACAATTTAAGGCCACAAGAGTAGACAATGATGTCACAAACATGACATCAGCTGAAGGATGAACAAAGGGTGTCACTACCCTAACATCATCTACAGTGAGAATAGGGCCATAAATGATCTCCAAACTCACATTGGTAATCTTTAAAGACCTCCATATCAAGGTCTAGGACTTGGACCAACTCATATCAAAATCCCAAACCCAAGCTATATTTAGGAGAACGAGATGCAATATTAATTGAGAATTTTTGTAGGACCTATAATGGTACCTCAATACTAATACCTCTACAAAGGAAGAGAAAGTTATTTCTTGTAAGACATGTTAAGAATGGTGAAAGCTTTTGGATGGAAGACCCATCAAGACCACCGGTGACATGTTGGGATGAATTGACTTAGGAAATTTGAGAGTAGTTCAAGAATATGTGGAGAAATTCTTAATGCTCGTACTAAAGGTACTTAAGATAGATGAAGATGATAAATTCCACTACTTTATGGAAGATTTGTGGACATGAGCCTAAAAAGAGATCCAAAGATAAGGCAATCAAGACATCTAGAGAGCTATGACTATGATGGACGGGTCTGAGTGCAAAGTAGAAGAAGTGGTCATGCTTTTCTTAACACATTGTTAAATTATGGGGTATTCCATGAGATATTATCTTTGATTGTGACCCACACTTCACAAGACAATTCTAGTTAGGTCTCTTCCCTTGTATTAGTACTAAACTTAACTTCTCCATTGTTTTTCATTCACAAATAGATGACTAGATAGAGAGAGTAAGTAGGATGTTGAAAGATTACTTTATGTACTATGTCATTGTATGATAGGACAATTGGGTTGCTTAATTCACTCATAATATACAATAATGCACGTCCATGAGGCACTCAGCTTTTGAACTAACAGTAGTGATGCAACTTCTAACATTATTAGAGCTTGTCAAACAATGAGGTCCAAGGTATTTTGCTAGCTGCCTACTACTTTGTCAAGAATGAAGAATTATCTTGTGAATAAAGAGGGTTAAAAATTATTGACAAAGGCGGCCTGAAAAATGAAGAAAAAATATTGATCAACACAAATGAGAGGTTGAGTATGTAGTGGAAGATTGAGTACTACTATGTACCTATCACACCCACGAGAGCCTTTAAAGACATAAGCATCACAATGGATTGGTCCCTTGATTTGATGAATTTTTCCAAATGATGACTTGAGTGGGGTGGTTAGCCTATCGACTTCAACTCCTTCCACCTCTCCAAGTATACTTGATCTTTCACGTCTCTCTATTGAAAGTTTACCATACACAAAGAAAATCAGAACGAAACCAACCACATCAACCTCCATCGATGATATGGGCACACCACTCTACCTCAGCATTGACAATATTAGATCATCAAGTAGTTGACAAGGATGAACACAATCATGTTCACCATAACACTTTACCTCATTCAATGGACAAGACAACCACAAGAGGTGGCTACATGAAAGAAGGACATAGATCTTTGATAATTTGAACACCTCATTTGAGCCTATCACCACTAGCAACATCCAATGAGGACATCGAATCTCACAAGAGGGGGAGAATGCTACCAGGGTCCCTCCACAAGAATTACCCTTGACAACAACCCTACGTTGTGCCTGGCAGAAGGGCACAGCCCACATGGTAGAACAGAAGATGCGACACTGGCCTGCACTGGCACGACACCTGTGCCCGGCAGCAAGGTGCCTATGCACAGCGGTGCAGCACCCACACACGATAGCACAGAACATATGTGCATTGGCACGATGTCTATGCATATTGGCACGCCTCACTCACAAGAAGGTACAGAGATGTTGCAAACAATTATGACATGGCAACCCAAGGCCACAAGAGCAAATAATCATGTCACAAGCATGACATCATCCAAAAGAAAAGCAGATGATACACTACCTTGACATCACCTGTATTAGAAACACTTAGTCTCATACTTGAAATATAAGGAATAAGAACCATTTATAAAGAGGGACGTCTAATCCCATGTATGAGACATCTTTGGTTATCAGAAATATCTATTTTGATCATATGTGGGCGCCTTGAGGATTAAATCACCCAGCGCCCAACAAGGGATTTTATGCAAAGCAGCCGACTTCTTTGTTACAGATCTCCAGAGGCTCAGAGCGGGCGCATTCTGATTCTGCGTGAGGGCTCACGTGTGGGCAGATGCGGTTTGGAGCAGTGCCACACGGCACGGCAGCTCAACTATGTGCGTGTAGACATAGGCTGGCACAGTGCTTGACAAGGGAGCAATGGAGACTACATGCGGAGGTGTACTGCCATAGTGACACATGGTGGTCAGACCGGAGTGGTGCGGAGGGGCGCAAGAGGGCTCAGGCACATACAGGGGAGCGCGACATGGAGCAGCACTGTACAACACGGCGGCTCAGCGTAGATGCACGGAGACTTGCACCGGCGTAGCGAAGGACGAGAGAGTAATGGAGGCTCAGCGCCCGCTGGCGCGGTGCGGCCTCGGCGGCCGCACTGGAGCGGTGCTGTACAGACGACACTGAGGGCGCAACGGACGCGGCGATGGCACGAGGTTCGTCAGACGCACGGGGCGTGGCAAGCGTGCGTCGCACGACGCACGCGCGACAAGGAGAATGCGCACGCCATAGGCTGCGCGCACAGCGCGGCATGCGTGACACGCAAGAGGCCCGCGGCACGTCAGGCACGCGCGACAACCAGACGCAAGCAACACGCCAAACGTGCGCGGCACGGAGGACACGCGCGGCGCGGATGAAACGCACAGTGCGGCGATACTAAGCGCGACAGGTCCTGGAGCGCGAAGACACTCCGGCGCTCTGGCGGGAACGCAGAGCAGAGCGCCGCCCTGGCGCCATGGGGTGCACAATGTGATGCCGCCGGGTGGCATCAGCCCACGATGGGTGCACCAAGTGGCAAAGCGTGCATAAGCGTGCGCCCCCACACGCGAGCGCGTGCTTTTCGTCTCGTGTTCCCTTAAACATTGCCAGCATAGCAGCGCGTGCCTATAAACGTAGCAGTGTGTGCGCACCCGGTGGCGCGCGCGGCACGGCAAAGGATGGTGTGGGCGCGTGGGAAGGGACACAGCGGGCATCGCCAGTCGAAGGGGCACGTGTATGGCTACTGCCCACCTGGATGTACGCTTAGGAACACTGAATCAATGAGCACAATAAACACTGGCTCCAAAATCTGGTGACATTTTCTACGAGCTCTGGTCATCACAAGGACACTCATTTCTAATTTCCAAAGGGGCTGAAAGAAGCGAGAGGAATGTGAACATCTAATCTCTCATGAACTGCGGTAGGGGCAGCAACTCTCTTCCCTGCCGCCGGCCCGTCTTGGTCCTCTCACATCACGGAGCAGGCGTTCACATTCTCGTCGCTGAAGAGGGTTGAGTAGCGGTTGCCGTAGTCGTCAGGGGACGGCGGCGCCGCCTGAGGGACGTTGCGGACATAGCCGGAGGGAGCCTTATTGTCGTAAACCTGAGGCAAGTAGGGGTAGGAGACCAGGTTGTAGGCGACGTACGGCCAGAACTCGGCCGTCTTCCCGGTGCTCCTCACCTTGTTCAACACCATGTTGCGGTCAACGTACCCGGTCACCGTCACTCGGCTCTGCTTCCGGTTCACATCCACTGACATCACCCCTGCAATTCACAGAATTCATCTAAATAAGAACATTGGCAAACATGCTACCTTATTAGCCATCTCAAACCTATAATGGGCTCCAGACCAGAAAAAAAAAAAAGTTTGGAAAAAAGCTCAGACCTTGCCTCTCACCCAGTTCCTGGTGTAACATGGGAAAATAAATTATCAATATTTTTCTTCATTAATTTTTTGTTCGTTCATGCTTATTTTTCTAACGCAAGTTTGGATAAATATATCGGGTTTTCAAGCTTATCCACAATTTGGTGTGCTTTCGGAACAGTGGAAAGATAATAATCATTACCATGCAGTTCGATCGCCTGGGATTTTTGAGAAGCCAAAAGTGGCGTTACTGAAGAACATAATAATCTATCCAAGAACAAATTTAGAAAAATCAAAACCCTAAATTCAAAGGAATTTGGTGGTGAAAAATAAGCTTATACATTGAATCATACGGATCACCATTTGTTTGAAGCACGAGATCGTTCTCCAACCACGGTGGGCACAATGGATTCAGGATTTATCAATACTAAAAGCTTGGGTTAGGTTAGGATCTCTGAGAACAAGAAGTTTGGCATGTTCTTCAACTGCAGTTATCTGGAGTATAATCCCACAGTCTCTGATCTTCTCCTCGCCGAGTAGGGAATGTCATTGAAACAAGAATCAGATACGTGATATTTTGAGGGTTTTATCCAGATGACCATTGGCAAACATTTCCGCGTTTCATGGCAGTATGATGACGAAGTAGGCGCGCCGTCGATACCTCTCATTGAGCAGACAGCATTCTTCACCCTCCGCTCGCACCCTTCGCAGTCCATCTTCACATTCACCTCCACCGTCTGTTCAAACCACACTCGAAAAGACACTGAGGGCAATGATATATATAGAACTAGAGAGAGAGAGAGAGAGACCCCACCTGCAGAGGTTTCCTTCTTCTTCTTCCTCTTCCAATCCTCCTTGGACTGGCCACTGAGCAGAAGTTCGAGAGGTAGTACAGTGCACCCATTGCCCGCGGGATTTGGGGGGAAGGGGAAGGGGAGAGAGAGAGAGAGAGACAGAGCGATAGATATCGAGGAAAAGGCTGAGCAGCGGGCCGGGAATGGCACAAAAGTCTAAGGGGACTGAAATTTCCCTCCACAATTTAAATGCCCCCCATGGCGAGACGGGGTTTGAAACGACGTGCCCATCGAAAGCTCTGCCATTGCCGGCATGGAGATCTCCAGCAATTACGAGCACGATGCCCCGTCTGTCTTCTACTTCATTTTTTTCCGTTGCAACTAAAAGGAAGCCACCGGTTGGCAGCTTCTTCACCTCCGAAATGATTGGGAGCAGGAATTCCCAGACGACGCCCCACTGGTCATCGCACGCCGCTTACAGTATGGACCACTGTCTTCCTCCCTCCTCCGTCTCCCCACCGACGGGGAACGCCATTAATGATGGGCGGCAAGCATATGGAAGATGGATCCCTCTGCGCGTGCGCGGGTGGTCGCTAGATGAACGACGATATCTCACTAACATCATCATCATCATCATCATCATCATTATCACGGCCTAGTCGATGTGAGCATTCAAAGTTTCCTAGTAAATGGCGTCCAGTACGGGAAAGCTTCTTGATGATCGATCCACAATGAAGGCTCTCAATGACAGTCGGCCGTGGCAGGCCATCTCGATAACCCGTTTCTTTCCTACACGGTTCGATTGGCCCCCCAGCGGGCTACCACCTTCATCCTGCCGTCGTCATCCTCATCCTGAGGACTAGATTGCACAGAACGTCGTAATGTTCAGGGCTAGCAGAGCCAATTTGGTAGGTCAGCGGCATGGTGGAGGCGGAGCATACCCCACGAAGCAGAAATCGACATCAACCCAACACCAGTAGACGAACATCTATCCAATCAAATAACTAGGAAAATGTTTCCTACAAACATTGATTAATCGGTCCAACAGGACGTTTTTCCTTGTTTGACGTAAACCGAGCTGCGCTACGGATCTACTTCGACAGCTTGTTTCTAGACAGCCAAGTGCTCCACAGATTCCTACACCGAACAAGCAGATCGCGTTGAACAGGACCGTGAATAGAACCAAAGCAGTCGGATCAGTACTGTCATCAGCGTTAATCCCAGCAATTGAACTGCCAAATCTGTGAGGATTAAACTTACCGTTCAAACGCCGAAAACTACAAAAGGATTTTTGGCAGCATATTTTTCTCGCCTAGCATATCAACTTCTTCAGCTTCTGGCCTCTTAAGCCATTCCAAAAGTCATTCGCGGTCATTACTTTCTTTCCAGGTAGCTGTATCTCCAGAACCTGCATTGAAACAAGCTTAAGATCAATATATATATACACAGAGAGAGAGAGAGATGCTTTGTGCTTTTGGACGCAGCAAGTGATGGAAAACAAGCATACCTCAAGCACTGATGGCCCTGGGCATGGTATCATCAATGCCCCCTTGTTGAATCTTATTTCATTCTCGTCGTCTTCAGTGTTGCAAGAACTGATAAATCTGGTTGTGATGATCTTGAACTCTATGATTTTTGCAGAGCCATTACTGTCATGGACCTGAAGTTTGGCTCGAGTTCCTGGCCACCCTGAGAATGCCCGGACCTAAAGAAGTCGTTTTTGTGTATCAGTGGAAAAAAGATCTACATAGAAAATAAATATTACCTTATTGTGTAGAACACGAGCTTCTTCATCAAAGGATAGCCATGATTCCTCAGGTTTGAGCTGAACACAGAATTAGATCAGTCATTTAGACTAATGCGTGTCACTAGTAAGGAAAAAAAATGTTTCCAAGGTTTCTTAGACGAATCCTACGATAAGGGAAAGTGCTCTAATAGATTAATCATTTTAAAAATAATTCCCACATTTCTATGTTGTGAAGTTGTCAGTGAAAGACCAGTATCTATTATTTTAGCAAGCAAATGATTATTAGCCCAACCTCAGGACAATGAAACGTGTAACCCATTTCATTCCATTCTTCATCCAGGTTCGTACCATACAAATGGCCCAGAATTCAAATGCTTAACCCAATACAGTAAACACAGACAAAGAAAGTTTTCTCCCTTTTAGATCATGACATATAATCGAGGTAAAGTTTTCTCCCTTTTCTTCAAGTAAACAACTGTATATTCAAGGCAGCGTGGCCAAAAGCGAGGCGAAGTTAGAGTTAGAGCAATATAATCAATTGTATATATGTGCGGTACACAGTTAAGGAAAAAGACCTTGGGTGCCAAAGTAGCTTCAGAATCGTCTTGAACTTGTGCTTTTAGCTTAGCCGAACCATCAGAAATGGCGGGGATTTCACGTACCAAAATTTCCGATCCTGAAGTCCAATCGTGAGTTAAAAAACCATAAAAAATGTCATACGTGCCAGGATTCAGTGTATGATGTTTCAGGATAAAATTCGAAAGGAAGAGCAATTGGAAAATTGGGAATTAAAAGTTCTACAGGGACCAAATTAGAAGAATGAACTAATACATACAGAGGAGGCATCACTTCTTGAAGCAACAATCAAAATATGCAGTAAAACAACAAAAAAAAAATGATTGTTAGAAATTCCTCACAGAGATTAATATACATGTATTTGAGTCAGATGTTGTCAGTATATTTTTTTTAAAATGTAAAGTGAAGTAAGAAACGTCGCACCCCACAATATCTTAGATAGAGTTCAGCAAAAAATAGTAAGAAAGCATATAAACGAAAAAGTGATATAAATTTTCAGTTTGAGAAAAGACAGTCAGAAGTTTATGGTCGTGCAATGTCCAATTTGATTCGAATGGTTCAACCTCGCACAAAAAATGGGAAACTAAACATCATAATGTATGGTATTTGGGAAGCAAGTATAAGAAAAATAAAGAGAAATTGACGAACTTAATTCAGACGAAACTCTTCCTCATGTGAAGGAGAGAAGGAACAGTGGAATGGGCCAATTGGACCTACCAAAGACTGGGACTAGTGGGTGCTTTTAGCATGAATAATTGTTCAAACAGCGATGAAGAAGAAACCGTTTCCACAAAAGGAGAGCGGCCCTAAAAAAACACACTTGGGTTACTAATAAACTGAGAATATGCTGATCTCTTAATTCTTGATGTTTTACAATTTCTTTAGTCCTTTCAATAATTAAGAAAAAATAACTTGGAACTTTGGCAGAGAAAAAATTTAAGTAAAGATTAAGAAGAATAAGAGCAACTGACATCTCAAACTAATGGCTCATCTACCAAATTCCTCACTTTGATGGTAATATTCATCTTTCTGACAGTTTTCAAGGCATGACAGGAAACCGAGAAAGCCCCCCCAAAAGTCCAAAATAATGAAATGTTGACGATCTGAAAATAGCAGTCCAAAAGGCCCAATACAACGAAACGCGGTAAGACAAAAAGTCGCAAGCACGTGGACATCTGTTATTTTAGCAGCCCCAGTTACTATTTTTACGAGTTCCTTTCTTAACTTTTTCTTTATCATATCCTATTTTTTAGCTAATTTAGAACTATTTTTCGCCAACTTAAAAGGCCTTGCACTCTAGACGAGAAGGTTTTTCTCCATAGTACAAGTTTTATTTCATTCTCCTCAGTAGATTTAGGGAGATGTTCGTTTCTCAGTCATAGTGGATACAAGAATTCCCAAGTGTTTTACTTACATGTTCAAGATTCAATCTTTTCTTGGACTTTAAGGTCTATTTCACATTCTATTTAGTCTGATTTCAGGAGAAACTAGCTAATGTCAACCGATTACAGCTTTGTTTTACCAGTTCCAACGTTTCTATTAGAGGCCAACTAAGACCCAACCCCAGAACCGGTGAAAATGGGCTGGGACCAGCCATTCCAGAAAAATTAGTTCTTAAAATCATGATTCATCATCACCTTATAACGAACAGAAAATTCCTATCCCCAAGGAATGTTAATCAACATCATGCCTCTAACCAGAAATACAAAGCTAGGTTAAAAAATTCCACATAGTATTCTTAGTTGAACGTGTGGATCTGTCAGTTAAATTAATCTCTCAAAAACATCTTTTTCTAGACATTTCTATTCCTTGACTCGAATTCTACTGATTTAAGGTTCTTTAAACGCTGTTCAATGCAAAAAATCTTTGCAAAATCAATTAAGCGATTGGAACCTTGACCTCAAATAGCATCAAACCACAACAATTGGAAGAGAGAAAATTTACTACGATTTTTGGATTAAAGCTGATCCACAATGAGCAATAACCAATCACAGGCCCATGGCCAAAAAGCCAAAGCTTTGTATGTTTTATAGATAAATAAAACGAGACATCGATTCAAGCTCATGAAATTCAGCTGCAAGATATTTTAGAGTAAAGATGCGTACCCTTACTGAATAGAATTTCGAGTAACTCTGGTGCCTACAAATTGAGCAACAAATAGTGACCATTAAAATGCATCAAGTTATGAAGATCCTTGGACTACCCAGAAAAGCATATTTTCATTCTACTGATAACAGAATTTCAATTGGACTACCCAAACTTTATATTCATTTGCATATAAATTTTTTAAGCCATGTCCCTGATAAGGTTAACGCTTACCTTTATGTGATCATCAACTTCTACTTTTTCATAACCAATGATTGGTCCAGCATCTAGTGCACGAACTGTATATGCCAGTGATACCCCCGTTTCCTTCACTCCATCCTAATTCAACAAATTTAAAGAATCCATATTGGAATTTATAAGTGCAAGAACAAAAGTTGGGCGGTGAAAAGAATTTATAGGTGCAGGATAACATACCTGTAATGCTCTTTGCACAGGTGCTGCACCACGATAAAGGGGCAATAAGCTGGGATGTATATTGACGACACCTGAAGATAATTTCACTTTAAAATTTATCACAAAATAAAATTCCGAATATGAAGAGTATCAGATCAGCCTATATGATCTGTCAACATGCATCTATGATCACAGACCACATTTTAGGGAACAAAATGTTTGAATATTATAGTGTTGGAAAACACTATGTTATGTGAAGTTGCACTAAAACATTGCATACTTCGTGCCAATGTACAACAGGTCAGAACTTTTAAAAAGAAAATTTATAGCAACTTATGAGCTTAAATATTTCTAGCATAACCAATGGCAATTTTACTAACCACACTGTGGAATTTCAAGAAATTTGTTAGGTAAAATATTTCCATATGCTGCTGTAACACAAATTTCTGGTTTCAGAGCTTTGAAATCGGCCAAGAAACGTTCCTGCATAATAAGAAACATATAGAAAAGGATTTATCTCAACCCCAGACCATCTATACACTATAGAGAAAATTAATTAGAAAATAAATACTTCTCTCATATAGAAACGGTCCACTTCTAAGAACAGTGGAATTTACGACAGAAAATATTCCTGATTGAGTTCTACACATTGCAAAATTAAAGCAGAATGTTTTGACCACAGTTAGCTGATCAGTATTGCATTCAGACTCAGGATAGTTGAAAAAGAAACATGCCGAACTGACTGAGACGTGCAAGGAGTCAGCTCCAATTTATATGAGTCTATACTAAGAAGTTTTTTGCAATTTCCTAACCTGCTTCAATGTGACGCAAAAAAAAACAATATAATACATACTAGGGATTGGAGCAATGAAAAACTGCAATATTTAGATAAATTCATACCATCTCAACAAATCATGATTCCTACACACTTGAGATCCACATGACATACATTTAAAAGTTAGGTGAGCTACTGGTCATCAAGCAAAACGGAGAACACCTCAGTTAAACGGTACCATGCCATGGAAGATTAACTACCCTATGGATAATCGCTACAAAATTCAAGTGTCAAATGCAGACAAAAGCCATGGAAAACCATTTACGTTCACCACCCCAGTTCTGTATTGTAACATTGAGAATCACCTTCCACTGTCAAATAACTTTGTTTCCTTGCAAAACGTGTGGTCTTCCTTTCTCTTGCAAAAAACCAAGTTTGTCTGGAAGTTTATCTCTAGAAGTGGTTTTCTAATCATCAAATCACTAAGCCATCTCTAAGAACAGGCTTAAAAGTTGAATTTCACTTTTGCTCACAATGTTGCCTATGTAATCCATCAGCAAGGGCTTAATCAAACTTTGCTGAACCGTTGTTGTGTAAGCCAAACTAAAGAACTCCGATCAAGCATTCTAATTTCGGATGTTAAAAGACCTGATTGGTTGAGATACGAAGATAGATGTATTGATAGGAGAATCTAGTGTGAAATATTCGTCCATAAGCTTAGGAAGTGTACATCTTCATTAAAACATAGCTATGTTAAAATTTAAATTCTTCTGTTCAATTTATATCTCGCACAGCCCATTTTTATTATCCCTTCCCGTGAAAGTACGGTAGCATTTGAAAATTCATGCCATACGTGAGAAAAGATGCAAGAATAATGAAATGCATAACATGTGATGCCCAATAAGATGAGAACCTGGTGACATGTAAGCAGGGTATAGAAAGAGAAATTGAGATAAAAAAAACACATTCAAAAGGAAACAAAGATTATGAGGGCTAGAAGATGACACCAAAATAAAAGACATGCTATATTTAAAATAAAACTAAAAGAGCATTTTGACCTCACGGACTATTTTTTTACAAGCAGCTGTTGGTCTGACAAGAGAAGAGAACTTGGCTAAACCAACACCAAACATCTGTCAAATTCTCCTTTGGCAGAATTGTGAGAGTGGAGACATGATTTTTTATTATCCCATCGTTAGTATGAAAATCCTAGCATGATTCACTGAAACCATACATTGTAATTCTCACTGTGCCTGGCCAACAACCAGTTGCATCACCAAGTTTCTAAAATAACACACTTTAACCAATTATATCTTGCATGTATTTGGCATATACCATGACAAATACATGGAATAACAAATAAAACAGCAATGAAATACAATCTTACGTCACCAGCTCGCTCTGGTGCAAAGATTAGATCCTTTGGGAACCCACGGTCTAGAGCGTATTGTGCAACCGGTGATGGCAGAACCTTCCTTCCTCTGTTCCTTTCAGAAGGTGGCTGGGTAACAATAGCTGCAAGCTAAAAATATTATTTGATGTTTTAATTACTGTTAGGATGTAAAAACTATCTAACAAGAATGTAAGCAGCTGAGATAGAAAAAAAATGAAACCAATGATAAGAAGTGGCAGAGATGCACACGGATGTTTTATATGGATGAACACAAGCTCTCTTAAGCCCTCGCTGCTCTCTAACACCGCAGTTCTGACAAAAAATGGGGGGATGACAGAGACAAACTTCTAGAACATGTATTTGCCTTTATCTCTCCATAATCTGACCCCTTCTAATAGGTATAGAGTAGAGCTAATGTGACCCTGACCACATGTAAAGAGAGAATAAAAATAAACTCAAGCCACAATCCAAAATTACACAAATCAATATCATAGATACCGACCATCGTTCATAAAAGAATCTAACGACTTAAACCTAGACTTAACATGAATCACAATATCCGAAAACAGGTGAGATATTAAAAACAATTAAAATCATCAAGAATCGGATAGATATCTCTCCAATAGAATTAACTTCACGCCGAAGTACAAAGTTGGCAATTTTTTTCAAAAGGTCAACGACAACAAGACTAAAATCCCAGTATGATAAATCAAAGAAATGTACAAAAAGCGAATCAATTGGTATTCCAAGTGGCCCATTTCAGCAGAGAAGGAGAGGCTAGAAGATGCAGATTGATCGTCTAACAATATTCGTGGGTATTGGTGTACTTCTCCTCTCTAATGCGATTCAATGGAGCAAATAATCCCACTACGCGATTCGTCTAGTAAGCAAAAAATGTAAATGGTCACAGTTTTCCGGAGTCGGGGCGTAGCAAACACACCTCAAATGTGGAGTCTGGAGCCTCGGACACTTTGGAAAGCTTCTCGAGGACCAATGCAGAAACCTGCAGCACGTAATAAAAAAGTCAATGCCTGCGAGAAACGAAGTGAAGAGGCGATTAACTGACCTGTGGAGAACCCATGAAGACGAGGCGGGTCTTCTTACGGGTCGCATCAACAGAGACGGCCGCAGGAGCTACTCCCGCCGCGCTGCAGCAGCTGCTGCTGCTGCCACAGGAGATGAAGCGCCGGAGGAGGACAGCAGACGGGGCCATCTCCCCACTACCCCTCGCCTCTCGTTCCCCCTCTCCTTCACCACAACCATGGATCCATACACACATACATACTGTCCGAGGAGATTGATCATCTTTGGACCTTCCGATCGATGGGCTCCATCAACGACAAGTTCAGGACTGTAAATGAACTTCGCAAATTTTAGGTTTATATTTTTGTTAAAATCAAGATTCTCTCTACATCATCTTGATTTCTGAGTGAGAAAAAACCAGTCTTTTATGAGTCTGCGGGCGGCCGGCGGTGCCCAGCCCAGGCAAGGCCCAGCGGAGAGGTGAGAACTCGAAACCATGGTTTCTCTGGTTGTTCCGCCTCGCAGTTTCCCCCTCCCCTTTTCCTTGTACATCAGTTAATTTGATAATTCGGAACATGACTTCATATTTTGACGTCAACAAAAAAAAATTGCATTAATATAATATCATTTTTAATCTAATAATCAGGAGCACATCCCCTTTTATAGTAATGTAATGAATGGCACCTTGATTAGTACGATAAAAATGTCAACACTCGATGTTAACACATTATTGAAGCATCATAACAAGCAACTAAGTGACAAATGACTTGGAATCTACTTTGAATCGTTCCAGGAGCCCAAAGCTTGGTGTCCCTTGGTCAAACTCTATGAATCCTCCTCACCCACATGACCATATTTCATGGTATTCATGAATTCTGGTCTACCTGACAGAATTAGATCAGTGGATAGACGTTGGTTATGCCTGCCTAGATACAGTTGGAGGGCAGGTCACTGAAGGCCAAAACTCAAAAGAAGAAAGCTGCAGAAATAGGCAACTCTTGAAGTCCATGTAGATTTCAAAACAAAATCTATGATTAGATGATCATTGAGTCGTCTATATTATTGAATCTATTACCTAGAAAAGTATCAAGTACTCTCTCTCTCTCTCTCTCTCTCTCTCTCTCCCCCCCGCCCACATGCATCTAAGCCAAAAATCTACTGAAAAACTTCTAATTGGGATGAATCGACTAAAACTTGGCATATTTCCCGGCCTCTGCCTTTCAATGTTAAGGCAGAGAAATCCAAGCAAGGTTCCCATTACCTTCCCTCGCCAGGTGTAGATAACAAAAAAAATAACAAATCAAATATATAATGCAAGAAAAAAATGATTACAAACGGTTAAAAAATCTAAGAATGCTATTTCTGCCACTACCCATGGCCTGACACTTGTTCTTCGCACTCAATTTCTTCTCCACTTTGCTGACTCCCATCACTCCAGTGGGCTCTGCTTCAATATCCACCTCTGATGTTGTAACACACACAATTTCATCTACAAGGTCTACTTCAGTCAATATTGAGACTTGGTCAATGCCCACCTCCCGTGGATCGGCCAGTGCTGGGACTTTTTCTTCACCTATGCTCACAGCCTCCCCTGAATTGGCTGGTAACTTCCTCCTCTTGAAGGGATTATTCTTGGGGAGATCTCCTCGCTCTATTATCTTCTCTGATTTGCTGTGGTAGCAAGCTGTTGGTGCTGACAACTTTCGGAGCGCAAGAGCTTCATGAAAATACTTGTTGCTGTCCAAGCATGTCTCCCATGGAACTGTCCAAGTCAAAGATTATCATCAGGAGTGGAAGAATGGAAAGAGATCAATAAGCCATCCAGCAAATGGGTAGTTGCTGGTTTTAGAAAATACACATCTCTGCCACTTAACCAGTTTTTCCATACTTTTCTACCACATTTGGCCTTAGAAAAGAAAATCAGGTCAGGCTCATTGACAGCCTGACATCTGACAGAATTTCGATAATAAATTCCAAAAGTACTGGTAAGCAAGCTTGCCTGTAGTCTTCTTCTCTTCCGCCTCTTCCTTTGCTGAAAATATAGTGAAACAACTCTCCTTCGTGGGTGTTATCTCTAAGATAACCGGACTGTCGTTAAAATCTTGGTCAGCAGTTGAGCTTGACTGGATATCAGATGCCGGTAAGTGATCAAAAGGCTCCATCGTGATAGGATTCAAGAGACCTTCAGCAATAGCAATTGCTATGGATGGGGGAAGCTCTCTTGTGTAATTTACATGTTAAGACAACATCTACAACAGAAAGGTTTGGCTGTGATACTGACGGAATTGTTATCAATATTTAGGATAATATATTTGTTAAATGGTCTACTGGGCTGAAGTTTTTTATGAATTAAAAATAATTGTAATTAATATTGTCGCGAAAAAAGTTAAATAAATGCGGCTGCGATATCATTGGCATAAAAGCCTTATTACTAAATGATATGAATCACAGAGTTCACTTTAACTTGCAATTTATATTTCTCATAAAAGTCGAGGTTTAAATAAGAATGCATTCAGCTAGCGTATATGAAAAAGGATTGCCGAAGGATACGGTCCAAGAAAGTCCAGATCTCCATGTAAAGCTTGCAGAAGTGCATCTGGCAGAGGCTTCATCGGCTCGACCTTTTTACTTTTGATGTCATATCTGGAGAATAAAACTGTAAGTTATACATGTATGAGAGGAATATTCAAGAAAATGTACAAGCACATCGATCCAAACTTCTTTACATCCGAGCATGATGAAAGATTGCAATGGCTTTCTGGAAGGAACTGCAGTAGTCTCGAGGCATGATAGAAGCCTTTTCAGAGCTCAAGACTGACAAAGCCTACAGATGAAGTAGAAGGGTAAGGATCTGAATAAGTTGGTCCATACTTCAATTATTAATGGAAAAATTATCATATGATTTGATGGAAATATCATTTTCCTAGTATACTCCATCAAAATGTTACAGGAAAAGGACATACTTGCACTAAAAGAAAGCTACATTTTTCCTCAGACGAACATCAATCTGATGATAATTGTATATACAAAATACAATAAAAGTCTTACCCGATCGATGGTTCTATATTTTGAGACAAGGGAATAAGCCCGTTTAATGCCAATCCCTGGAACAGATGGGAGGAAGTCACAGCCAGCTAGTACACACATTCCTGCCGATAAAGTTGAAAGAAGAAATGCATATGGTTAATAGCTAATAGCAAAGAAAATTCATTTGGATAGAACAATAGAGTGTCCTTTTGAAGAAATCCAGCAACGCTCATTGATATCCGAGCAGGGAAGATATTAAATTGTACCAGACAAAAAGGCTTCATGGTTTTCGACAGGGATAAAAAGAACTTCAGAACCGCTTCACATTTCCATAGACAGAAAGGATAGTCTAAATGTTCAGAAATATTCACTCAAGCTAGTTAAATAATCCAAAATGAATAACTTAAAGCATTTAATTACCTGTAAATAATTCCTTATCGAAATGTTGGAAGGAAAGACCATTTCTTGAAGAATTGAGAACTTCATCCATTATAATCTCATCACCATTCCCATGACGGTCCATCTTAAATATAATCTATTTCAAAGCCAACATTTAAACAAGATAAGATTGAGAACCTCAGAAAATGTGAAGGTAAATATACAAACAGCTTTTCACATGTCTCTATTTGTAGAAAATCTTACTGCCGGGCAACCATAGGCCATTAAGTCACTGTCTTCTGTTATTACAGCTGCTATTCCTCCATCCTGGGCGTCAATGCTGGACAAGTATGCTAATTGTGCATCGGCCTCATAGGGAGCGACGACAAATTCTACATTCTCAACCCTCAAAACCTGGAAAAAAAAATTAGAGGAAAATTATTTAGATGCACGAAAACACTCAGTAACTTGATCAGTCATTTTGCTGGAAGTATTACCTGGATTAACTGATGTGCCATTTCTGGAGAGATGGAAACTGCTCTCTAAAATGAAAAGGATGGAATTGGAAATTAGTACGCATACATCAGAAATCAACTCGCTGGTCAAATAAGCGCAAACAGCAGGAATAAAGCACTGGTGCCCAGTATATGGTTATTGCACCAGTAATTATAAGCGAAAGAAACAGTAACAATGTTCAAATTTTCAAGCAAAAAAGGTGAATCAATAGCGCTCTGCCATTGTTACATAAAAACAACAGCATAAATCCAGCAGCGTTCTGCGAGATCCACTGACCATTTATTAGAATTATGATATCAACCTTGAACATAACCTCTCTATTTTGAATCAGCTAGCTACAGTTTATAAAAATTAGTAAATAAAGGCAGGGAAAGTGCAATATTTGACTCTTAAACTGCTGACACAAAAAGTGGGCATAAAATCACGAAAATCTGAGTATACTCAATTTTTTTCGTTATGCCAGGATGTAAAGGATATATTGGTGTGAAAAAAATTACAATAAGAGTGGCATTACTTTCAGGAAATTTTCAATTAGCACCCAAGATAAAACAAAGTAAACCATTAGACATCATTGGTTACAACCATTAGCACAGGTTTTTAAAGTGACCGCCGTTTTGTAAGCGAATATTTCCTACATAAATCGAAACTTTACATTGATGCTCGAGAAACTTTTTTTCTCATTCATGTCATGCATACGTTGGAAAACAAGTCGCAAAACATATTGCTAGCCTGTTCTTCATTGCAACTCTCTCTCTAAAGTCAAAATTGTGAAGACGCACCCCATGCCGTAAAATGTGGATGGACATAGACTGACATGGACGAGTGTAGTGTTCTGGCAGAGAGACATTACCTGAAAACAATCAATGGCAGCCTGGGCATTCCCTTCTTCAAGTTTTTCTTTCGCCAAAGCCAGATTCTCGTGCCTCTTCCTGATTAGACATATTTCAAATCCAGATATTAATATCAGGTGGCAATAATGGTCAGATCTCGCTGGATCGTCTCCTTCCAGAGAGTCCAATCCTTGGGATCCAAGGTAAACAATTAATCAGTCTCTTAGTGCTTGTTTGATCAGGAAACAAAATTCCACCTCCAATCCAGGCATTATGGCCTAAATAATGCATTCGGCTAAAATTGAAAGGGAGAAAATTAAGACAAATGATTGTGTAGCAGCTTACCTGCTGCGGGCATCCTCGGTGGAGGACTTGGAGGGAATGTCACCACCATCAAAGACTACAACTGGCTTAATGTCGTGGTGCCGGAGTAGGTTGATATGGTGCATGAAGTACCGGAGGTAGCGCCTGGCTGCCTCAGTTTGCTTATTGAGACAGAGCTCCATGCTGCAAGAGTAAGCTGCCGAAAGCCCCTCAAAAAAGAAAGACAGATTTCAACCCAAATAGACCCACCTGATAACGACATTCTCCTCAAGGTTCAGACCCGTCAGAGATATTTACTTAACCGGCAAAGTAGCACTCACCGCCTTTGTGGAGCCATGAGTAAGCATCAATGCCCACCTGATCATCAGAAAAAACCAAACAAAAAGTTCTTTAAACATGAATGCCGGAAGAGAGAGAGAGAGAGAAAGCAAATGCAGTAAGACACAACTGGGATTCGTCCATTACGCGCTTGCCGGAGTACTTCTTGATGTGGATGGGTTGGATGTACGGCTTCACGAATCGGAGAAGATTTGGGATGCCCATTTTTGTCTAGGATAAGGAAGATGTCTTTTACTCTAATACTTCTATAAAACAAAACGAATGTGAATCATCTTATTGGGATATCTTCCGCATTTACAACGAAGGATAGAGCTGAGACGAAGAGGGGCAGAGAAGGTAAGACCGGGGGAAGAGGAGGGAAGGAGAATGTAAGGTCAGACAGAGGTGGTGATGGCGATTGGCAAACGCGGGCCCCACAAGTCATAATTATTTATTTCTCAGGGTTTCCCGCGAGATGTCCAAAACTTTTGACTGGCGCGACGCGCGCTTCTCCACTTTTTTAATATTTCAGGGGTATTATTTGAAATAAGTTACTGGATTACCCAGCTTTAACAAAAAAAGAACATTTACATTAAAATTTGGGAATCAACCCCAAACAGAAGATTTTTCATTTCGGTCAGTCAACTAAGGGGAAGTCCAGAACACCTTGACCTTGCCCAGCTTTGTTTATAGGTCAAAATCGCCAAAAGACCCATTGTTTATTCAAGCTACATTTGAAACTCAATGGGTTCCGTTAAAATGTATGTAACCTACTAGCAATCATGCTTAACCTATTTGTGTTTTGTAGGGTTATCCCACATGTCATTTTTAGATATACTCATGAGCTTAAAATGGGTTCATATCTTTGAAAAGACGTTGACTTGGGCATTGCATAGCTTACATGTTGGTACCCTTAGCCTATTGTGTCCATTTGTGAAAAATATGTAATACCTTCCTCCACCAGCTTGTGCAATAATGTCCAATCTTCCTCCACTAACTTATGAAATAATGGCATTGACATTGGCATGGACCCATTTTCTAACATATCTAATCTTCCTCCTTGAATCTGTCATGAGATACACTAACTATGATAGAAATCACTTTCCAAATAATTAAAAGATATATGATATTTTCTTAGTATTGTGTTGGATATAGACACAGCCCAAAAATTTAGGTTTCATCATCTTTTTTGTAAAAATAGAGCTTTAGTTAATTAATCATTGTATCTACATATATGTGAGATAGAAGTGGAGGAAAGAGAGGTTATAGCAAAACCATGTTGTGAGATAGTTTTCTATAGAATGTAAGAATCTACTCCATAAGTTCCACGTAAGTTAGTAGAATTGTTATGCATAAAGGCCTTAGCTAGCCTCCGCTACATTTTTTGCTCTAGTTGTGTTATTTAAAAAACACATCTTAAATATTCACATTCATATGGCAACCAAGGTTAGTACCCAAATAATATCTTCTAAATCCATGCCTCTTAGTATTCAAATACAAATTTAGAACAAATCAATGTTCCTGCAAGCTAGTTTGTGGTTTTGTCTCCTTGAGAAAAGGTTCAAGAATCCTTCAAAGAGAATATTGAATTACTCAAAATATTTTTTCCTTACTTGAGGTGTTGAGGAGGACATTTCTTATACATGTGATGTTAATAGAAAAAATGGCTGAAATCATGACCCAATAGTAAGTGTACATTCTAGCAGCTAGGTTTGTCGAAGTAGTATTTTTATCTTTTTCTTATTTTAAGAAGATTTCATGTCATATTAGAGGTCAAAAATATGATTAAGTATTATTTAATAATATGACATTGTAGTTTTATGTTTGTATATATTTTCTTCAAGTTCAAGATTCATCTTCCTCAACTTTGAGTCCATCAGAGGATGCAAACATCCTTTTTATTTAAATTTAAAGAAAAAATGTTTGACTAACGATCTTTTCTGCTCAAATGGGTTCAGTAAACCGGCTTTTAAAATGATCAAAGGCCATCGAAACAAGGCATACCAAAATAGAAATGGAACTCATCTAAAGTGGGCGATTCTCCCCTTTCTCAATAGGGAATGATGCAGCCTAACATCCATAAGTGTTTTGATGTTTGGACATTGGACTGAAGCCTTTGCATGTGGAATTTCCATATATTTAGATTCTAGAAGGGCTTATGGCATCTACTTCATAAGTAAACTTACACTTACATCTAGGTTATTTCTCTCATTGAGTAAACTCAATTCTTAGAAAAAGGAAGTGAATAATAAATCTTGGACGCCACCAAGTAAGCCATTTTGAAATACAACATTTATTTTATCACCCTCAAAAAATCTCTATTTAGTCTTTCTAAGGGTTATTAAAATCTATTATCAATATTTTCTTAACTCTTATTATAAATTTGTTAGAACAAAATTAATATTTTATGATTGTGTATATTTCTTATCATTAGATGATAATATGCTAATTATGAGATTAATAAGGACTAATATGTGTAATATCATTGGTGATGTGCATAATCATGTAAAAGACATGAGACAAAAATTACAATTAGATATTAGAAATGAGATCTAATGGCATGATCAAAGCAATGAGTCATCATGCAAGTCTTGCATGGGGTGGGGGTCATTGGCAACATGTGTTTATGCCCAAGTCCCATTGTCACATGGTCAGAGTGGTGTGGCCCCCACCATGTGGATGTGTGCCTTAAGAGACAGGTTTAACCACCAACTATAAGCAGTAGTTAAGACGTGTATCCCATTGTTTGAATGTCCCATCAAGGGTGAGGGTCATTAATGAAGGACAAAATGAGAAAGTCATAAGTGATTTTTCTTTAAAAATAGGAGGGCCCTCTGGTTGTATTAGAGGGACAAAACTGCTGTTCCCTCTACCAATGTAGGTTCTTGAGTAAGAGTGATTTCCCCTTTTGGTTAAAGAGCTCATGCAAGGTCTCTTGGAAGAAGGAGGCTGCTTGGTATTGCAAGGACGACCAAGGCAGCACATAGTTGACCACTTCAGAAGTATGTCCATCTTGTGTGATATTCATGGCCTGCAAGAGGTACATAAACATGGGAACCCCTACTTGTGTTTGGGGCCATTTTTTCTCATGTATTCTTGTGTATTGGTATACAGCTTTTTCGACAAGACTAAGGTTCCCTAGGCTACAAGAGAGTGTCAGTTAAGGTGGGCACAAGGCAAAAATGTCAAAGTGACTTCTTGACCTTATGATATAAACTTGCAATGTTAGTGTCCACTTCTCCAATAACCAAGGGGATAGAATTGAAGGCTCATGCATTATATGAGCTCAAGTTGAGTACTACTTGATTGAACGTTTGAAACTCCACAAATAGATTCAAACTATATATACCTTGGTGGTGGTATATGATCAAGACTAATTTTATATTTTAATTATTTTTATGGCATGCCCAAAAAACATCATTAGCAAGTCATTTGGACAGACTTGATCAACATCTAGATGAGCTCAAGTTGACAATGGGGATAGACTTGAGGACACCTGGGTTAGAGAAGCTTAAGAATTTGACAACACATTGAAAAGTCAACAAACATGTTCAAACAACATGATGTTATGCACGTATGATTGAGACTAGGTTTATATTTTAAAGAAGTTTCTAAGGCATGCCCAAAAAGAGGGGATTGAGAAGTTACTTGAAGTGGGTCAATGTATGTCTAAAAGAGCTCAAGTTGACTACTTGTTGTCACATTGGAAAGTCAACAAGTAGTCAACTTGAGCTCCTCTAGATATAGGTTCAGACAAGATGAGACTTACTTGGTGATTGCATGCACTCATGCCCACGATTAAAGTTACCTTTTAAAGAAGTTTCTAAGGCATGCCCAATAAGAGGACATTAACAAGTTACTTAAGTGGGTTGATTTATATCTAGAGGAGCTAAAGTTGACTGCAACTTGTTGGCATATTGAAAAGTCAACAAACAGGTTCAAATAAGATGAGACTTTAATGATGGCAGGCACTCAGCGACCGACGGAGACTAAGCTAATTTTTCTAAGTTTCTAAGGCGTGCGCAGAAAAGGGCATGGGCTACTCGTTTGAGGGGACTTGATAGATATATAGATGTTACTGGGAGGCTGGGAATTTGGGCCTCTCCAAATCTGGGCCGGCCCTAAAATTCTGCACGGGCCTCCTAATTTTGACATATATGCAAAAACATTTCGTCATCAATGATATTTCTTTCAAATTAAAATACTCCAGAAAAAGGAAACGGTTTCTGTCTGCACCCGCCCACCTCCCCTCCTTTCTCTTCCTCGTTCTTCCCCTCAAACCTCCCCTCTATCTCTCTTCTCTTTCTCCCTCCCAAGCCAAACCTCTCTTCCCTGTCCTCTCTCTCTTCTCTTTCTCCCTCTCTCCCAAGACCAACCTCCCTTCTCTGTTCTCTCTCTCTCTCTCTCTCTCTCTCTCGCTCTCTGTAGGCGTGCCTTTCCTGCAGAAACCCACCATCTCTCACTCCGGCCATCTCCACTACTCCGGGGGCCCTGCGGCGTCGGTATCGGCGTCTCTTGTTCATGGTGCCGTCTCTTTTTCCCCGGGAGGACGATGATGACGGCGACGGCGAATCTTCCGGCGCCAGCGAGTGGGACGACGCCCTGGACGACGACATGGAAACCCTCAGAAGGGCATGCGTGATAGCTGGGAGGAGGCCCACCGACATTGACCGCTATTCCGGCGGGGAGGGGTCTGACAGTGAAGACGACCTAGATCTCCTTCGGAGCATCCAGGAAAGATTCCCCTTGCCTTCAACGGCCGGAAGCCCGCCTATCTTGAAGGCTCTGAACAGTATTCCGTCGATAGAATCCGATGAGGAGGACGACTTTGAGACGCTTCGAGCGATCCAGAGGCGCTTCGTGCAGTATGAAGACGGTAAGCCTCATGGACGCGCGTCACCTCCTTCATTGTCGGGAATGTTGCCGTGACTTGCACTGTTAAGGGTTTTACGTACGCATATGGGAGAAGGATAAAAGATGGAACGGATCGAAATTTGGTTGGTTCATGATAATTATATGATAGAGGCTGAGAAAGCTGGTTTTGGTTTTGTTTTTTTTCCTTTATTGTATGAATTTAGGGAGACCACAGTCTTCTGGGCTAGGCTGGTGCTATTTGACTCGGCATTTCATTCTGCATGCCTCTTTGGCTTGCCTTTTTACTTACGCTGTGCAGAAAAGATTGGCTGGATTCTTCTTTTCCTTGAGGCTTTGACTTCCAAACCTTCTTGTTCTCATTTACGTCTAAAAAGCGTCAATTTCAGAAGAAGCTAGCTTATTAATATGTTTCTCAATCATAATTACTTATTTATTCATTAATCCACTTTTTTCATATAAGATTTCGTCCAACTTCTCCTCATGATATTTCTGGGTCCAATTCTTTATTAAAACAAGCATCAGAAAATGCAGAAAACTTCACAAATGAACCGATATGGCCTTCTGGCAGGCCTTCTGCAGGGGAGGGCCTGACATGTTTTTCGAGCTTGGATTACCTGGATACCACCTTTGCTGTTAACAAGGTTTTTTTGTGTTCAGTTAATGTGCCTTTTTTTTCCTTTTTGGTGGGAGATGCCGCCTATAATGGTGCATATTATTTTCTTTCCTACGAATATGGCGGCATAACGACCCTGGGAGACCCTCCCTTTATTTACTCTTAAACCTTCATATGCTTATCTTCTTTCATGCTCCTGTCAATGGCGAAAATGGGGAGGTTTTGGTCGCATTTGTGGTGCTCTGTTCTTTTCTGAACTTGTCCCAAGTTGGGTCATTGCCAACATTTAATGTGGTAGTTCACGTTTTGAAGGATGAAGGTTGGTGTCTATATGTTGTATTTAAGAGATTGCATGGCAGTGATTAAAATCACGTAGTCTATATTTACTTGGAGTTACGTGAACGTGATAATTGTGTTCTGCTATTATTCGTTACCGTTGGATCTGGGGTGCATCTTGTGAGTCGGATATTATTCTGTCTCGTGGTTTACAAACTTCAGAACTGAGTCGGCTTGGAAGTTTCTGGTGACCTCAGATTGATGATTGGATTACTAGTATAGTCCACATGCGTGTCCTTCTATTTTCAGTTGTCTACATTTTCCATTTCTCCCTTAAAATTAAAGGCATTTTCACAGAGAAACATAGGTAAACATTTTCCTTCAATTTTCATGCAGATTCCAGGAAAGAGAGAAATGTCAAGAATTCTTTTCAAGCTCTACAAGGTGTACCAAGTGCTATAGCCGAAAGGGAATTTTCTAATCATGTGTTAGAAAGTAGAAATGGCGAGTCCTTGTCCCAAGAAAATGGTGATTCTGTGGTGCCTAAGCCTTGTGAGCCAACTAGTCTTCAGCAGTCCGAGGATCGATCAGGTCACTTGTCCAGCAGGATATCTATGTATTCTCGATTTCCAGTTTGTGCGCAAACATTTGTGGATGCTCTTAAACGTAACAGGTCATGTCAGAGACTGATTAGGGCTAAGCTGATTGACATTGAAGCAAAGATTGAACGGAACAAAGAATTAAAGAGGCGGGCCAAATGCCTCATGGATTTTCAAGTCGTTTCTGGTAAAAGGATGAATCAAGTTTTTTGCCAGAAGAGGGATCCTCGTGTTAGGTTAATTTCCCTGCCTAAGCAAAGGCTTTCATTTTCATCAAAGGTATTCACCATCCTTGTAATGATCGGTTTGATGAAATCTTTGATTGTAGTTCATCTTGTAGAATTATTTCTTACTCTTTAGTAAATTCCTTGAATGACCATGCCTTCTTCCCATCAGATACATGAGACTAACCGTTTGCCAAATTTCTATTGTGGATTATTCAGTCTGTGTCACTTTCGGATTTATGGTTTGTCGGCAAAGCTCTTGAGGTTACTTGATTGAGCATCATACAGAATTCTGTCTTATGCATACCTGGATTTTTTTGTAGTTTTACCTATTTGATGAAATCATTGCTTGATCACCAAAGTCAACTACCTGTCAGTAATTGCTGCTTTCGTGTATTTTAAACTTATGCTATCAATTTTCTCTGGTAGCATATTTGCCTTCTAATGAATTTTGCATGGATATATGAAGGATAAGATCTTGTCATTTTATCTTTTTTGATCCGGAGACTACTGCATTTTGTAGTGTCCTCATTTTCATCTTATTCAAAATCTGCCCCCTCTAAAATCAGATCCTTATTTTAGATCTTTTTAATTTTTTTTAACTTTTTTCTGTTTTTTTCCTGGGGGAGAAATGGTGGTGCAACCTATCTGCCATGAGGTGAATGAGAAATTTATTTATAGACCACTAGAGTTGTCGCTTCATCATTTTCATCTTATTCAAAATCTGTTGCCTCAAATGTCGTCATCCTCCCCATTCCAAAATTTCAGTGACCGCTCCTTACGAATCATTCACAACAATCTCGTTATTTCAGCTCACATCCCATATCCCAGGAGGTGAATCACTGAACCCGATTTTTATGTGGGTAGGTGGGTGGGTTATGGGGGAAGACGAATGAAAAATTTCATGGTCACAGTAAATCTTATGCGATACAATTTGGACCTGTTGTGCTAACTGTATTTCCAATCGCTGTCCTACATCAGTCTGTTTCTGAAGCTGGCATATTTTTGGCTTTTTCGTATGAATCCGCTCTGTCCTGTTAACGCTGTCTTAAACCCAGTCTACAATGTATCCTCTTGCTACTTAATGCATACATTGTGCCGCCAATTCGTTCGAACAGATTTTTTCAGGAAACCAACATTTGATTTGGAGGTTTGAAGGCAGTCACCCACTGTGTTTGCTCTGAAATTCTCTGATACTATGGTCACACGCTTGCCCATTTCAATCCAATCTCCAAAATGCCTTATCGCAACAGTCTTTCTCTAGGATAGGGAGACCATCTGGTCCAGAAACAGCTGCTACTGACAGTTATTGCTACCATCGCCAATAGTAATATGTTGAAATATGCGTGACAGAGCAGATAGTAAAAGAATCAACTGTGCAGAAGCAGAAGTAGATATAACAGTCATTTTCGCTGTCCTCATTTTGACCCCACATCTGTCCTGTTTCCTTAGTGAAAACTAAAGATATAAGACATTGGGTTGGGGAGACATCACGGTTTTGGGAAAATGCTGTCTTTGAAACTTTGAAGCTATCTTTTAGTCGTACTGTCCATTTTAAAATACAGTACACTTTTATATAAAAACAAAATTCCTTTTATCATTTTGGTTCCACTCCTGGTTAAATTGTTGGGGAACTGCCATACTCGAGCACAAATGTTGAGCTCAGTGTATGGTATTCTCTGAGAGAATGAGCTCAGAGAATGAGCCCGGAGAATGAGCCTTAGGATATACTTGTAGGACGGACTTGAAGGATCGTTGTCTTTTGAATCGCGTGTTTTCTAGGAGGGTATTCCACTCCTAACAACTAGGGAGCCAAGTAAATTCTAGATTATAAAAAGTTCTTTCATGTATCCAGAAAATATTTACTGAAAAAACTTTTGATGTGAAATATAATAATATTGCGAGCACAATAGAGTCAATGGGACGGGTGAAAGAAGAACCACATATTATTTTTGGGATTTGAAGTATTTTGTGTTATAAATGGTTGTGTTCATAAATCTTTCTGTAAAACTACTCTTTAAAAACTTCTCTCAGTGCTCGTTTGTAATGAATCTTTTGTTCACCCAGGAGAGTGCAAGGAAGACTCTTCCCCTCCGTTATGGACCACGTGAGAACCCTCATGTTTCCGCATATAGGATGGTTTTGTCAAATTTTCCTTTTTCGTCGCACAAGCAACGATGGTTGAATACCGAAAAGGAAAATCTTGCGAAGGGCATAAAACAACAATATCAAGAGAGAGTGCTTTTGACTACAATGGAACTCTCTAGGTAGATAGCGAACTTTGTTCTTACAGTTGGATTATTGATTATTATGAAGCAATGATGTCTTCCTTTTTCTTGTTGCAGTGATCTAGCAGGAAGCCTTGAGGATTCTGCTGCTATAGTAAGGAAAAATTTTGAATTTTCACCCGAGAATATTAGATCTTTTCTACCAATGATCAATTGGGAACGGCTTGCTTCGATGTATCTTCCTGGCCGTTCTGGTGCAGAGTGTGAAGCACGGTATAAATTTTGAAGCTTCTTCTGAGACAATTACTTTTGATCAGTCCATGTCATATGCATCTGAGATTCTGCAACGCACAGCCCAACAATCCGTCCTTTATTATCTTCTAGGATATAGTGCATTAACTAACATTGTTTGGTTCGGAATTTCGTCGAAATTCTTTATTTTATCCCATGCTAGTAGCTTTGGAAGTACCGTTTTAGATAGGTATCAGATAATGCAGAGTGATGACATTGTAGCCTTGATTGCAAGATTGTATTTGTCTGAAATATGCCATTTCTTATAGGCTGCTTTACATAGTGGATGCTGAGTTTAAATTGAATTTATCTCTGGGATATATTTACTAGCACTCTCACAGTTTGAACTCGTGTCAATTTAATGATGGACAAAACATTTGATTTTTATGGTTTGCACAAATACCGGTTTTAGTTCGGTTCTTCAGGACTTGTGACAGATTATTTGGTCAATAATCTGGTTAATTTTCTGAATAGAATGATGAACATTTGTGTCAGTGGCCAAGCAGGTTCTTAGTGGTTTTGTTATTTGTTGGAAACTTGGTATTTCTTATTGGTATCCTTATTACTTTCTCCTTATGATTCACATTCTTTGGCAAGGATGAATGAGAAATGCATTAACATGTAGGTTGCTTTTTACTAGATGCTTCACAAGTTGCTGTTCTCGTTTCATAAGTCTTGTTTTTCTCAATTATTTTAGGTTGACGTTTAGAGAAATGCCTGCTGCACCTGTACTTGATGTCACATTACTGCCAGTTTTCAATATAGGTGAAGCATATTTGTTTTTTTCCGTTCCCTAGGCACAAGGATTGATAAAGTTCCAAAATCATTTCACACTGTGTTGATATATAATCTCTAATATTCTGTACAAAGTACACATTTCATCAATTTGGAAAACTAAATAGAATCGAGGGAATAACTGAATAAAACCGTGATAATGCAGTAAGTAAAAACTGAGAGATCCTTTTTCCGCGCTGCTATGATTACCAAGATGGTCATTGCTTCAGTCGGTTCTTATTCCCTTGGCGCTGTTTCTTTTCCCAGCAGCTGTTAGACTAAGCATATGGTTCTGATTATTTTAATTTTGGTCCGATTATGTCGGTTAAATTGTATTCTTTATTTTTTTTATTTCATTTCCACTCAATTTAGAGTCTAACATTGTTATGATTGTTTTCAACGTTGACTGCCAGACGTAGCATGATTCCATCAAACATAATTCACTTTTGTATGATATGCATATTTGAATTGCTGTCCGTAAAGCCCCAACCCTTTCTTCGAATTTATTGATATGCACAGCCATATGATAAGTATGCTGAATTCTTTATTTTTTTTACGATGATATCTGTTCCCTGTGGGACCAGAACATAAATGGGAATTCCTCCTTTTTATTTGATTATAAAATTAGCTTATCGGGATGGTTTTTTTTTTAAGGTCCTTGGATGACAACGGTGAAAGTACCGTTGTAATTCACATACATTTTGGTTCTGTTCACTAGAACTACCATGCTAATTTGCTGTTTTCTCATTTGCTCATCCTGTAGTCTTTTTGTTAGAAGATTTTAGGCTGTTCAGCTTTATCTGTTCTTTGGGTAATAAAACGGAATGGTTATAATTGGTTGAATGAAATATTCACTCAGTTTCTTCTTCAGGTGGTTGAACTGTGAGGATCCTTTAATCAATCACAACCCATGGACGACACATGAGGAAAAGAAACTTTTGCATATTGTTCAAACCAAAGGAATCTACAATTGGATTGACATTGCAATTTCTTTGGCAACACATAGAACTCCTTTTCAGTGTTTGGTACGTTATCAACGAAGCCTCAATCCGTGTATTTTGAAGAAGGATTGGACAGAAGGTGAAGATTCTCAACTTCGTGCAGCTGTAGAAACTTTTGGGGAGGATAACTGGCAGCTAGTAGCTTCCTATATGGAAGGAAGGACAGGTCCACAGTGTTCAAATAGGTAATTGATTTTGTTCTTTAAAGAGAAACCGCGAGTCCTACGTCACCTGTACTTGAACGCATATTATTACTCGGTTAGGTTGTGACAAAGAATCAAAATTTTAGCCCATCAAACCCTCAAGTTATTGATTTACTTTTGAACTCTGATGCCCCTCTATTGTATAGCTTTAGACATGTCAATCATACAATATTTTTCAATGAAGGTGGAGAAAATCTCTTCATCCTAGTAGGCGAAAGGTAGGGAGATGGTCTGTTGATGAAGACAAGCGTCTGAAAGTAGCGGTCATACTTTTTGGTGCAAAAAATTGGAATAAAATCGCTCAGTTTACTCCAGGCCGCACTCAAGTTCAATGCAGAGAAAGGTAATAGGGTCAAAAATTACACCTAAAATTGACAAAATATGGCAGTAAATTTGACAAAGTTTCGTTCATCTTCAAACTCAACAGGTGGGTAAATTGCTTGGATCCATCGTTAAATCTTGAAGAGTGGACTGAAGAAGAGGATACCAAGTTGAAAGAAGCAATTGCCACATATGGTTATTGCTGGTCCAAGGTTGCATCATCTGTGCCTCCGCGTACTGATAGTCAGTGCAGGAGGTAGACATGTTTTTCCATGTCTATAACGTCTTGTCTTAACTTACATTTTTATTATTCTTAGAACACCCTGGATCATGATTTATTATTGTTTTCGAGTGTACAGAAGATGGAAGGTTTTGTTTCCAGATGAAGTGCCTCTGCGCAAGGCTGCTTGGAAGGTGCAGAAAGCTGTTCTTGTATCAAACTTTGTGGATCGAGAGTCAGAGAGACCTTTGATCAGTCCCAGCGATTTCTGTATTGCTTCAAGTGCTGATGTAAATCTTAACAGCGATGGCACGAGGAGAAGAAGGTACTTAAAAACTATTATTATCATTTTTAATAACGTTTGCCTTGCTATATTAAATGCGCACCTTATGCCGACTTCTTCATCTATGCTGGAAACAATTTGCTTTGGAATATGTTCAGAAGGCGGTCAAAAACAGAAAATCTAATCGGTTCATCCCTTAGGTAAAGATAAGCTTTACCTTATCTGTTTGGGAATTTGTTTTCTTTCTGTTTGGGAGTGGATTCTGGTTTTCATTTCTACTTTGTGGTTCAGCAATGCTCCTAAACGAGTTAGCTCTCAAAGACACAAAGCTAAAGATGGAATCTCCAAGGAAACCATCAGTGGAGGCAATCAAGCTGGGCATCGTGGGCCAAGAACTGTCTCGAAGAAGAGTAAGAAAGCGTTAGGTCAACAGAATGAAAAGTCGGACAAAGTTACTGAGCCGGAAGGTATCAATGACAAGGATATGCTGAGTTCATGCGATGCCGGCCACTTGGGTGCTGCTGCTGCTGGAACAAGCTTGGAAGTGGCCTCTGCATCATTGTACTTAAATCTCACCCGTCCATTTGAGATTCCTGTACAGCTTTGACTTACGCCTGATGTATCACCTTATAAATTCTTGTATTTTATGATGCAGTGATGCTCCTCAAATATCTTCCTCCAGGGGGCAGAACGATGATGGCCTGTCTCTTCCTCCTAGGTATAGATTTAAGCTTTACCAGCCATATTGCTTTCTCTCCGTTGGGTGTGGCTTCTGTTTTTCATTTGTACTCTGTGGTACAGCAATGCTCCGAAGCGACTTAGATCTCAAAGATGCAAAGCTAAAGATGGAATCTCCAAGAAAATTGCTAATGGAGGCAATCCAGCTGGACATGTTGGGCCAAAAACTGTTCCAAAGAACAGAAGGAAAGGGTTAGGTAAACGGAATGCAAAGTCTGACAAAGTTACTGAGCCGGAAGGTAACAAGGGCAACCGTATACTGAGTTCAGGCGATGCCGGCCACTTGGGTGCTGCTGCTGGAACAAGTTTGGAAGTGGATGAGTCTACCAGAAGTATTTTGGAGGGACAAAATTGTGAAAATAGCAGCACTGCGAAGAAGAGGAAGAGAAAAGCTGTGGCAACACGACTTAAGGTGATGACTGTTCGCAGTAGAGAGTAGATTGTGTTCCCAAACCAGGTGCAGCAGATGCGAATGACCTGGGGGCACAACCTCCAGGTAGGTGGCAACTTCAGCCCATTGCTTCATTTTCTTCCCAAAAGCCTCTTTCTTTTTTTTAATGATGCATTCATTATAAACGTCGCACAGTGTTGCCCTCCTGAAGGATACCTCTGAGAAGAACACAGTTGTCCTTTTCTCCTGAGGAGAATCCAATTCAGGGCGATCTGACAAAGCTACCCATAGGAGTAAGCTTATCTAAGCTGCTTCCAGAGAGTTACAGATCAATCACCCATGGTGTCTAACGCCCAGGACCGCCAGTGAAAACATGAAGCTGGTGACCCACATTGTTTGACTTCGCTTCGTGAAAGAAGAAATGAATCGAGTTTTCCCAAGTCTTCAAGGTCAACTGAGAAATGACAATTCTGGTGGCAGTGATGTCCTGAGCAAAAACGGAGGAGAGATAGGAATGGGCTCTCTTTTGTCTGATATTTGATCCCTTGGAACATCTGTGTGCCACCTTAAATTTTGATACGACAATGCGGTACTTTGTAAATCATGCGACAACATTTGATTGGTATATACACAACAGACGATCATCATCTGGTTGCGGATGATGATAGAGGTGAAGAAAATAATAGTTCTTTGTACATTTAGAGATCAGAGATCGCTCAGCTAAAGCAGTGACAGTGTACGATCTTAAACATGCTACCCTGCTGTATTATTTAATTCGTTATAAATGTGATAGAAAATCATGTTGTCTTTGCCTTTTATGATTTAGGTTTTTTATTCCCCTTGTTTTCCCCCTGGATATGTTTGTCTGGTTATTGAGTTCTTCATCAGATAAGAATAGAATCTGATATCGAGGGCAAGGAAAATAAATATGAACAGTAAGTTTCGAATGAGCAGGGAGGCTTTTCCTGTAAATGTTGCATTTCTTCCTTATCACTGACAGCAGAAAAAATTGTCCTCTCTCTCTCTCTTTCTCTCTCTATCATCCAGACGATTAGAACCATTTAAAGATACACAAGTACACGGGGAGACATCAAGGACCAGGTACAAGACACAGAATGGTTGAGTGCTGATGAGATACCCAAAAGACTACAACATATCACAGAAATGATGTAACATTGAGTGTTAGTCCTCAAGAGGTGATACCAGATAAATGTGGATAATATGGGGATATTCTCATAGTGTAAGTTAGGGAAGAACGAAAGAAAAAAAGGCTATACATCCCAAAAGGAGATCAGATAAAAACTTGTTCACATTTTTTACTTGAGCCTTTTGGGTTTTACCCTTTGGGACTTGCGCACATTCTGAGGTCAGTATTATCATGAGCAATTCATCACTAACATACACACCCATTGAGAGTTCCAACCCAATAGCTTGAAGGTCGGCCAAGGCAGTCAACTGGGCCCAACAGTTCATGATACTGAATCGGGCCTCAACACCCAGTTTGCTACTGCTATCCACTCAAATCAGGCCAAGTTTCAAAGCTGGCTTCACAGATATAACATGAAAACAAATGGGCACATGGCCATCTCTCTCTTGAGATCAAGATGTCAACGGGCCAGTAAGGCTGACGCCAGTCAGGGCAGGCATTTTTCTTGAGCTTTGGGCCATAAATCAAACCAAAACCAAGGTAGATCCAGCCCATCCGAAAGCCTGGACTGGGCAGCTCCAGGCATTGAAGTTGCTGCCATTCAGCACTCCAGGCGGCATCAGTTAAACTTAATGGTATTGAAACAGTTAAAAAGGCTAGAAATAAGATACAACTCTAAAACCAAAGTTTTTTCAGATATCAAACTAGAAAGTTATCCAGATTAGCGTAGTATCTGATGTTCCTCAACAAAGAAAATGGTACCTACTGACCTCTAAATTTTTGGAACTTCCTGTAATTACATCTCTGAATGTTCTGATAGTACATGGCATTTTAGAACACATTAATAGGACATGGCTGTTTTTGTTTTTAAAAAAATACATTAATTTAGACGTTTACATCATGAAAAAATTAGTTGATAATGTCTAATAATTTAGAATTATACTCAAATAGTTACTAACTCCACACTAACCAAAATAATCCGATGTTCTACACATAGAACTACACGGCAATCTCTTTACGACAGCGAGAGAGATGAAATTGATTGATATTTAAGCATTGAACACAGAGAAATAATTGTTGTTCTCACCAGTTTTCGTCAATACTCTTCGCAGTCAGCAGAAAAATACAGAGATTGTGGTTTTTGAACCTTTATGATGCAGAGTTTCACTTTTTTCCTCTAGTCACCCACCAAGGCATTAGTTACATTACAATTTTATCTTTGATGAAGTACAATTGAATATAGGAAACGACTAAACAGTGAACATTTTCTCAAGCACCTGTCCCTGGGGCTCTAATTTGACTACGATAACTATTGACCTAACCCGTTAGTGGGGTTGTTCTCAACATCTCCAGCTTTGTTCCCATGTGCATAGCCAAATCCCCCTTACCCCCATCAAGGAGAGCCTGTTTCAAATCTCCATACAACCGCCCTGGTGGCCTGAGACCTCTGTCTATCATCTCTTGGAAGTACAAGCAAGCTTCCTCCAGTCTACCCTGATGCTGCAATCCATTGATAAGGACAGAGTACATGTGCATACAAGGAATGATCCCATTGTCACTCATCTGAGCCCATACTTTGAGGGCCATGTCCACTCTCTCCTCTGAACAGAACATTCGCACAATCATGGTGTAAGTATTGAGCTCAGGTTCGCAACCAGATTCATCACCCATCCTTAGGAAAACCTGGTACGCCTCTTCAATTCTCCCAGCCTTTATGAGATGATGAAGTATTACTTCGTAGGTGCGGGCATTTGGGCTAAGCCCGGAACTTTTCATCTCGGGCAAGATCCTGTATGCATTTTCAAACTGATGGGACCAACAGTAAGATCCAATCACTGCGTTATACATGGGAATATCAACTGGAGAGCCACTGGCTTTTGATAATGCAAAGTACTTTAAGGCCTCAGACAACCTCTTCTCTGAACCTAAGCCATTAATTAGAGTACAGTAAATATGAGGACTTGGTTTAATATTCCTTGCCACCATCTCCTTGAAGAGTCTGATTGCCTCATCTAGCTTTCTGCACTTGACGAAGCCTCGGATCAGAATTCCATATGAAACAATGTCTGGTTCGAAGCCACCATTCATCATCTCCTGGTAAACTTCTGTCATCTTCCCCAGATTCAACATGTTCCCCCAACCTTCCAGTAGAATTGTGTAGGTCTTAAGATCAGGAGAGAACCTGTTCCTCATGTCAACAAAGATTTCTTGAGCAGTCTTCACGTTTTTAGATTTGCCGAGGGTATCGAGGAAGGAGTTGAAATCTGAGATGTCTGGCCTCAGATCAAAGTTTCTCATCCGCTCAAAGGTTTCAATTGCTTCTTTGATGTTCTTGGCCCTTACATACCTTCGAGAGATCAATGCAAATGTTTCCTTAGTCAAAATTCTCTGTTCCTTCATGACAAAAACCAGATCCCATATCAGTCTAAATTGTTTGATCTTGCCGAGGGCATCGATCAGATTATGATAGCACTCGGTAGAATACTCGAAACCTTTCTGCTTCTCCGCCCAACGGAAGAAAGACAGTGCCAGTTTTCCAGCGTTGGTGAGCCTCCTCAAGACTTCAACCACTAATTCAGGCGAGACCTTTACTCCAGACTGATCAAGAGAAGAGCATACGCTCAAATGGGGCTCTCTAGTTAGTATTCTACAGACAACTTCAACATCTTCAGATATCTGTTTGATTTTGGGAATTGTTTCCTCATCTACACCTTCTACAAAAAAATCCGTTTTCCTTGAAACATATGAAGAACTACAGAAGCCCATTCTGGAAATGGTAAAAGGGCATAAAGCTTGGTTACTCAATAACAAAATATTCGCCATGCTTTCCCCATTGAGCACCCATCTTCTGATAAAACTTGAAGTACGACCTGCAACTCCAATGGACAAATCACAGAAAGAATATAAAGAACCCCGTGTTTCTGGACAGGGAAGAAAGAGCAAGTCTTGGCGAGGGATGAGGAAACCCAATGTACCAGGGTAACCGGTACTCCTGCTCACTGCTCTAGGAAGACAACAGCGGAACCGCCAGAAACCCATTTCCAGCGGAGAAGATGACGCTGAAGTATTCTCAGCGATCTATGTCATAGTGGGTTGCTGGAATAAACAAAGAGCACACTTCAGAGTGTTCCCTGATTATCGATCGAGAAAGCAGGGCGGGATCAACATCCTAACCATTGAAGGCAAACCTAAGAATGCGTGAATCCTTGTCACCTCTGAAATGTCTCTAATGAATACGGGAAGAACACCACATAAGACCCTCGGGAACTGGTAGAGCGTTGCCTCTTTTTTCCGCTTATGCCCTACGCCATTGTGCAGAGGGAAGTAGAGCAGAAGGCTGTTACGTTCCTGAATTCCTACGCTCCAGGAGCGGCCTGACCTAAGCGTTGGCGTCAAGCGGTGACCTGCACAAGCGAGGAGTGTCACAGATGGAGCGCTGGCTACTAAGTAAATGGGGGAAGTTAATATCTAACAATCGCTAACGAGAAAATGGGGGATAGACTGCCATCAGACACAATCAAGAACGCAAGAATTCAAGATATCAGACAGAAAGAATGAGAAATACAGGGCGTGATGAGAAATACAACACCAGTCAGTCGCTGTCCAAGATAAAAGGAGGAGAGTCGAACACTGTCCCAAGGTGAGAGTCCGGAAGCTACGCCCTTCCCACTGGTCTAAGGATCGTCGGGAATCCTAGTTGGCCAAAAGGAGGGAGGAGGAGAAACGCGAGGGAAAGATCAATACTTTATTTCTCCATCTCCCAAAGTAGCCGGATTTACTTCAGTACCTGAGACCCGTCAGGTAGATGTTCTTCATTTGGGCATGTGAGCCCCATTACATCTCCTAATTATTTGCAGGACCTGGATGGCTAATGTAGCTTAGATGAGGGATGAATGGCCTTAGTCGCTTAAATCTGCTAGACCATCCTCTATAATTTAGCTGAAAAAATGAAGATGGAGTAGAACAATGATCATAGTAGACTAGTAAGAGTGAATAGACTAATACAAATAATTATCATAATTAATTTAGTTAAATTGATCTGCTGAACTTTTCTAATTCGCCATAGTGCATAAAATACTAATTTAAATGATAAAAATTAGACCAATTGATACGGATATTGTTTTCGTGGTTTGTATTATAACCCATGTTCAATATCCCAAGAGCAACTACCTCTTTGGACTAATATTCCCCTAAGATTAGATGCTAGATACTATCATAGTATCAAATAAGTATTTGTTCTATCAGTCTACTCTAGTTTTATAGAACTATCCCCATATTATTTCTGAGGAACTCAATTCACTATTGACTTAATTGGCTCCATCCCAATAAATAATCCTTAAGGGTACTATCACTCTTAATGCTAACTTTAGTGGGACCAGCCCACTAAGTTTCACAGTGATATCACTCTTACACTAGTCTTATGACTCAATTGGACAGCTACAAATCCTGTTGTGCATGATTGGAAGGGTAGATGGGTTGTTGTGCCTCTCTTCTTCCTCAAGTGTAAGGACAAGTTCTCTTCTCATATGGTCCGATTCCAACTCTTCACTAGGTACAAGAGGCAAAAAAATGAACTATGCTGTCACATCATGCACCTCAAATGATTATAATAAATGTGTAAATTGAATATAAAATAAAATTATTTGAATTTATTTGGTATTATTATCACATCATCTTTTTTCTTCAAATATATTTCCATAGTGGATTGCATTATCTATGACAAGCATGTATGCTTAAATTATTTTTGAATGATCTAGTGTTATATTTAAACAACTTTTAGAGGGTGGCACCTTTACATAATTTGATTTTGAATTTACAGACACAACAAGCATGAAAACATTCTTTAGTGGTCATGAAAGCATCTCAATAATCATTAGTAGTCATTCCAAGTATACTTACATTGGGCTGGTCAGAACAATGTGCATGGTGGATGGATTGGGCAATCTTAAGTCCATCAATTAAATTGTCTAATCAAATTATATGAGTGCGATTTTGATGCATAGAGGGTCAACTTGATGTTTACAAAGTCTTAGCCAAGTGTGGGTGGTCAAGTATTTGATTGAGCTCTAGATTGGTTTATACTTCTGCAACATGGGATTTGATTGGTTTAATTCATTTGTTAAATCCTAAAAAAATGGTAATAGGGTCTATAATAAAAGGTTTAGGTGAAATAGCCACTAGAAAAAAATTCACAAAATTCAAATACCAAGAAATTTTTATTTGGAGCATTAGAAGTTAGTTTCGTGTAAAAAAGAAACAAAGTGTGTAGCAAATTTGGTGAAACTCAAAGGCGCATAGAACAATACAGAGAAAAACAAAAACACTGCAAGATAGAGCATGAGAAATGGTTTTGAGAATGTGAATGAAAAGAACAAGAGAGTACACTATACAATATATAGAGCTCAAAATCTCAAGAAGAAATTGATGTAATGATACAAGATCAACTCCAATGTATCATGAAAAGACAAATTCACCCCTCCTTTGGTTTTCCTTTTAGTCCATTTAAGACCAACACTAGTCTAAATGAGCACATCATGAGAAAAGACCAACGTTTTCAAGTACTAGGAAGCCTTTCTTTCACACGTTTTTTACCCAGGCTGAGAAAAGCCAGGATAAAATGTTAAATCTTTAAAAAATACCCTGTTTATTGATTAAAATATAATATATTATATTTTATGAAATGACATAACAACGTTTGTGAAGGGAGGCGGCGCACCAGTGGGGACCTCGGAGGGGGGGGGGGCATAATAGTTGTTTACATCGATAATATTTAGCAATATCAGAGTTAGACAGGTATAAAATAGTAAAATTATATGGATTAAATAATTAGGTTCGAATAGTTTCTATAATCTTTGGATAGGAAGTATAAAATGAAATAATGGGATCTTAGGGCTAATTTATTTTAGTGGGTAGATTTTGGGAGCTATGTATAAAGATTCGCCCTGCGAAAGCTTCCCCCGGTGGGCGGGCGTTCTTCCTGGAGAAACGCTTTCCGGCAGAGGAGAGGGACTATGCATCTGAGGAGCTTCTTCCACCTCCGTTCCAGGGTAGAACCCTCCATCTACATCCCTGCATGCGAATGCCTTCACAGGTTTCTCTGCGCTTCTCCTCTGCCAAACCCACTTCTGGGAAGCTCCGGGGACAACATCGGGGAGGAGGCTTCCACCTCCGCCGTCTTCGATATCGTAAACTCGTCCCCGAATAGAGAGGCCATGGTCAAGTCCCTGCGAGAGAGCGGGGTCTTCCTCTCCAACGACCTCATCGATCGGGTCCTGAAGAGGGTCAGATTCAGCCACAGCAACCCCGTACGAGCCCTCGAGTTCTTCTCCTACGCCGGCCAGAGAAAGGGCTTCTTCCACACCCAGCTCTCTCTCGACACCATGCTCTATATCCTCGGCAGGAGCCGCAGATTTGAAGACGTATGGAATATCCTGAAAGAGACGCGGAGAAAGGACCAGTCCTTGGTGACCACCCGCACTCTCCAGGTGGTCCTTGGGAGGATCGCCAAGGTGTGCTCCGTCAGGCAGACGGTGGAGGGCTTCTGGAAGTTCAAGAAGCTCGTCAAGAGCTTTGACACCCCGTGCTTCAACGCCCTGTTAAGGACCTTGACCCAGGAGAAGAGCATGGCCGATGCCAGGAATGTCTACCACAATTTGAAGCGAGATTTCCGGCCGGATCTACAGACCTTCAACATACTGTTGTCGGGCTGGAAGTCGTCTGAGGAGGCCGAGTCGTTCTTGGAGGAGATGAAGGAGATGGGAGTGAAACCTGATTTGGTCTCTTACAATTGCCTGGTTGATGTCCACTGCAAGAACCGGGAAATGGAAAAGGCATTCAGTACTGTCGAGAAGATGAGAGAGGAGGAGATCTATCCTGATGTCTTCACATATACGAGTCTTATCGGGGGTCTGGGGCTGATTGGGCAGCCTGACAAGGCCAAGAATATTCTCAAGGAGATGAAGGAGTCTGGATCTCATCCTGACGTAGCAGCTTATAATGCGGCTATAAGAAACTACTGCATTGCAAAGAGACTTCGTGATGCATTCTCTTTGTTGGATGAGATGGAGGAGAAAGGCCTGTCTCCTAATCCGACAAGTTATAATCTTTTCTTCAGGTCTTTCTATTGGTCAAATGATCTGAATAGTTCTTGGAGATTGTATGAGAGGATGAGAAGTCGCGGTTGTCTTGCCAACACGCAGTCTTGCATGTTTCTGGTTAGGCTGTGCCAACGACAAGAGAAGGTGGGGATGGCTCTTGAGCTGTGGAATGATATGATTCAGAAAGGTTTTGGTTCATATATCTTGGTTTCGGATGTACTATTTGATTTTCTCTGTGATATGGGGATGCTGACAGAAGCTGAGAAATGCTTCCTGCAGATGGTGGAAAAGGGTCAGAAACCCAGCATTGCCTCCTTTAAACGGATCAAAGTTCTGATGGAGCTGGCGAATCAACATGAGTCCCTCAACAATTTAACCCAAAAATTGGTTATCTTTGGGGATTCCTTCATACTGGGCAAACCAAGTGCGGATAGAAGTTCAGAAGCATTGTCCCCAGCAGCCTTGGATTCAGTTGGATGAGACCAATCGGAGAAATCATGGGTTCTTGTCTCGATGGCCATGGATGGGATCAGGAGACCAAGGTTTCTCCTCATCGCCATGCCTCCTGTAGCTGTTGGACAAAACGCCTGGTTTTGGGCTAGTTTTTGGTTTTCTGCAGTCGAGGGTTAGGGGCTGAACGCAAAACCCAGTTGCCCCTTGTGGCTTTTGGGCCGTCCGGGAAGCAGAAACTTGCCTGGACCATATTTTTGGCATCATTGAGGTAATTTTGTAACACCACAGGTGGGTGAGACAAGCTTCCTGCTGCCCCTGTGGGATGTCTGAGGGTTGGGAAACATAACAGTGGAAGATTAAATTGTTGGCGGAGTTTGAGTGGAAAATTATTTCATAATAATGGGTTTTTCTTTTTTGGTTGAACCTGGTGATCAGTTTATAGAGTTTTAATGAGAAGGTGGGTGGTTCATGTTGAAGTGGATAATGTATGATGTTCCCAGATTCTTATCTTGCAACCATTAATCCTTCTATCCATCTATTTGTTGTTGAACCTTCTGCTCATAATTTTTTACCTTGTGGTTACTACTAACTATGTCAAAACAACAGATCTTAGGAATTCACTGAGATTACTTAAACTGACTAACGTTTCTTAGTCTTCGGAATTATGAGCCATGTTGCAGTGAAATGATGAACTTGCTAGATGTTCTTCCACTTACGTTTTGAGAGAGAGAGAATCAATAATAACCAACAACAAAGGAGTTGCCATTGTCCCAACCGTCAGCTATTTTACTTTGTTTCAGAGATTGATGCAGGGTAAGCGGATCTGGGTCTGATTATGGTGGATAGAACTTGCCATACTGTACCAAGTTCTGTCTGATTATCAGTAACATACTCTTTGATGGTTAGATTGTTCACTTTTTGGCAGCTTCATATTAAAAAACAGCTCCCAGATTCGCAGTGGATTTGTCCTTTTTATTTTTTATTTGACTATATTTCACTTCGTTCTATTTGGAAGGAACAGATTCTACCAGTAGCTTTGGCTCAGTTGCTCTCTAAGCTTCCTTTTTTTTCATCTTATATAATCATGTGATGATCTGATCTGCAGCCTGTTCCAATGGGCTAGCGGTTTTTAATAGAGCTTTTCTGGTAAAAAAATTGGAACTTGTTCTCAGTATCTAAAATGGGCATGTATTAGATGTCGCCTTCATTTTGGTCAAACCCTCAAGTCAGACACCAGTTCATGTCGAGATACTGTAACGGATATATTGTTAGACCAGTTTTACATAGCTCAGGAAAGCTAGTTTTTCAATTAATCTTGTTGTATGGGTGAAAGAGATCAGTTCTGATTCAGAAAAAAAATAAAAAATAAAAATAATATTTTGATTAGCTAAATAAACTCCACTAAATGAAGTAACTAAATAATATTTTGAGTCAAAATCTTGGGGGAAAAAGAATAAAAAAATCTTGTATGGGTGAAAGAGATCAGTTCTAATCAGAAAAACATAAAAATATATGTATATATATAATACTAAATGAAGCAACTCCACTAATAAATTTAATATGAATTTATAAATTCGATTCTAGAGAGAAATTACTGTGGGCTTCTCACATACGAGTCAAAATCTTGGGGGTTAAATAATCAAAGAATCTTGATGGCTGGCTGCTTGTCCGATCTCTGCTGACGAGTGTCCGATTGCGATCCTACGGCGGGCTCGAGCTGAGCAATCTATCATGAGATACGTGGTAGTCCTTGTCTTCCCATATTTTGGGAGGTCCGCCGTCCCGGCGGCGATGCGCGAGATGGTCGTTCTCCGCTGTGTGTCTCCGGCGACCCCGCCGCTATCGCGTGGCTGTTCCCGCCGGCCACCACAGCTCCGGGGAGAAGGCCCTCGCCGGAGATGGGCTCCCATCGGCGGCGCCGTCCGCTGCGCCACCACCTCTCCGCCGTCGCCGGCGCTGAGGACTTGCCGCCACTGCAAGAAGCAGTTCGATCCCTCCCTCAACCACCCCGCCGCCTGCCGCTTCCACACAGCCCACTTCGGCGGTAAACTCTCTCTCTCTCTCTCTCTCTCTCTCTCTATCTATAACTTGCCCACCATCTCTGACGTTTTCTGTTCTGGGCCTGAATTTGGGTGGAAACAGGTGAGACGAAGAGGAAGTTCGAGAGCGTCTACACGGGGGGCACCTTGAACACGCCGGACTCCGGGAAGGTCCTCCAGTACTGGCACTGCTGCGGCTCTGAGGACCCGTCCGACCAGGGCTGCACGCTGGGCCCTCACTCCTCCTACGACGACGACTGATAGCCAGAGACGAGAAAAAAGCTCAAGCTATGGAACCCCCAAACAAGATCTGGTTCGACTAGATCATCGTGGATTCGCAAACAAGATCCAAAATTTGCCAATAATTTCTCAAAGTTGTCTGGCTGATTGACTGCGTTCTTTGCTCTCGTGGAGAACGCGGGAACCTTGCTTGCTCTGTGAATTGCTCGGCTTGGAGATAGGACAAGAAAGGAAGAGGGAGGAGGTGGTGTCCGCCGATTGAATGATGCTACGGATCCGTCAACCAGAAAAACCCTAGTTTCAGAGCTCTGGAGCAACCCCGATTGAATGTTTCAGGCCGAGGTCGACGGCTGGATAGATTGGATCATCGTGGGTTCTCCCATCTAAGACCCAAACTTTGCCTGAAATTCTCAACTTTTTTCCTCGCCAACCCATTACTTTCCGTTTCAGAGCCGAGGAATTTTTCTGTCCGATCGCCTGTGCTTTCCTTACGTTCTCCTTGAACACACTCTTGAAGAACGAGCGAACCTTCCTTCCTCTGTAGATTACTCGACTGGTAGATTGACGAGAAGCGGAGATGGAGGATGTAGTGTCTGCTGATGAAACTACGTATCCATCAACCAGAAAAATCTCAGTTTGATAGCTCTGGAACCTCGATTGAGTGTTGCAGGCCAAGGTCAACGTCTGGTTCGACTAGGTCATCGTGGGTTCACCCATCCCAGATCCAAATTTTGCCAAAAAGTTCGCAACTTTTTCCTCGTCAGGCCAACACCTTATCTGTTCTGTTTGAGTCACGGCTGTGAGGATCCTGTCTCCAACGTTCACTGGGACCAGCGCGTCAGCACCAGATTCCTCCCTCCTTGACATTTAGTCCACTGCGGCGATAAAATTATATAAATGCCCTCCTAAACGGCTATTGAGCAGCTTAAAATGATAGACATACCTTTGTAAGTGATTGGGTGGCGGTTTAGATTCTCTTGGGGCCCTAAGTTAACTTCGGGCTCTCTATCGTTATTTAGGTTAACTTATTTTTCAATTTGATGGCAATCAAGGATACTTATTATTCTTCTGGGTTTATTTTTAATTGGGTCTCACATGAGTTGTTCAGACACCCTAATCTTATCAGATTCTGATGACCGAGTTACCTTGGATAACTTCTAATATACCTCCCTTTTTCAGTTCTAATTGGCAATTAAAACATTATTTGGAATGGAGTAATCTGAATTTATGTGAGATAATCCAGCCATTTGAGTTTGATAAGCCCATAGGCCCAATTTGGAATGAATTAGATAATACCTCTTAACTTATTCAGTGAAAAAGGTTATTACAATGGCAAACCTAGTTGGCTATGAATTTCTATTCAGCTGCTTGACTGAAAATTAAAATGAGCATAAGGTCAACCCATCATTAAACCTAGGTTTTTCAAGTTTTCAGTCTTCTACAAAAATATTCATTACTTCCCTCTCTTAAATTTAATAAATTTATTTGTATTAAGATAGACAATAGTGAAGATTGAATAGTAAATATCTTGTTAAAGAGTAATTCTTCGTAAATAATACTGCATTATATTTTTTTAGGCATTTAGATCTCAATTATACCAAATGCTTGAAAAGTCATACTTTTGGGCACTAATAGCCTTTGCTAGAGGAATTATACATTAAAAATTATTTTTATAGCTACCTTTAGCAATCACATGGCACTTTTCTAAGTGACAACCGCATAGAAGAGTTCTACAAAATCATATGTGAATTAAAATTCACCCTCTATGCCACTAGAAGCAGCAAGTGAAACATATACATGCACTTAAAGTAATTTAAAAAACCTTTATTAATTTTAATTATTTAGGGTTAGCCAATTAAGCTTGTACAACACTTAGGAAGTCTTGCTTGTTTTCCTCATGATTTTGTTGCCTAGTTAATCTTGTTTACTTTACATATCTAAATGACTATGATAACCTTAGTGAAATGCCTACTTAAATATTTTAGTTAAAAAATTAAATTATTATTTCTTTTTGCCAACATGTGGACTTGGAGGTGTGATTGCTAATCTTTCGATCACTATTATCATGTTATTGATGAGAAGAGTTAAATCCTAAGACTAGATTAACTTCAAATGAAGAGATACATGTGTTTATATAGGTGAAAAAGGAAAGAGAGATAATAGGCCTAAGTAGACCACATAAAAGAGGATGTACGAACACTGCTCAAGTTAGAGCATATAAGTCAAACATGCCCAGATTAATACATATAGCATTATAGGACACTTATAAGGCTCTTGGTGAAGATGTGTGTTAGTTAGTTAGATGAAGTGACATGTGATGTAGAGATAACCTCCTATCAAAACTTTATCTTGGATGTAGTAACAATCAATCTCGATGTACTTGGTCTACTCGTGGAATGTAAATTTTCAGCGATGAAGATTGCTACTTAATTGTCATAGTGCATAGACATAGGTGTCTAGGGACTGACACCTAGACTCTTTAGAAGAGAGTGTGGTCTTACCATCTCACATGCCATCTCAACTATAGTATAATGTTCGACTTCTATACTAGAACAACACCTTTTACTTTCTAGAGCGCCAAGTGACTAGGTTGCCACCAACATATGTGCAGTAGTCAGTCGTTGACTTCTAATCTCCTTTGTCACAAGTATACCCAACATTTGAGTAGGCTTCAACATGTAGGTGACCATGATGTTTATAAATGAGCCCCTTCTCTAGAGCCCATTTGATATAAGTTAGGACACATAGTGCTCCTTCTTAATAGACCTGATGAGGTTTCTACATAAACTAATTGAGAACATTGATTGTATGCACAATATCAGACCAAGTAATAGTAAGATATATCAGTTTTTCTAATAATCACCGATAGCAATCAACATCCTTTATTAGAGGTAAAGTAATATCTGAGGACTTCAGATGCGCCTCCATAAGTGACTCTAGATTGTAGCCAAGAAGCCCTGTTTCTTGAAGAAGGTTGATGGCATATTTCCTTTGAGATAAAACTAACATGTATGACTAATAAACAAACTCCTTCTCAAGAAAGTAGTGTGGTGTCTTTAAGTCTCTTGTGATAAAGTGTTGCTGCAAGTAGACTTTGGTGGTAAAGATATTTGTCTCATTACTCTTGTCACAAGAATATCATCAACATACACGACTAGGATGACCATACCTTCATGTGTGGTCTTCATCAGGATAGTGGGGTCAACAATACATGGAGTGAAGCTGAAGATAGTAAGACGATCACTAAACTTCACAAATTAGGCTCAAGGACTCTACTTGAGTCTATAGATTAAAGTAAACAAACTTGAGAAGACTTCTCCTAAGTAACATATTATGGAGGTTTCTCTATAAAAAATTAATCATCTAAGTCACCATAAAGGAAGGCATTGAACACATCCAAGTAGTGAAGTGACTAGTCATGATGTACTACCAAAGAGAGAAGAATCGGAATAGAGTTCAGCTGATCCATAGGGGAGAAGGTCTTTGTGTAATCAATGTCATAGGCTTGAGTGAAGTCATGAGAAATCAAACGAGCTTAGTGATGAGTGATAGAGCCATCTATGTTGTACTTCAATGTGAAGACCTACTTATATGTCATAATATTGTCATCAATCGGGCGAGGGACAAATTTCTACGTGCCTTGAGAAACTAATGCTTCTATCTTCAAATTTATAGTTACTTTTCAAGTAGGGACCTAAAGTGTCTCCATATGCAATTGTGGAATTGACTCGGAGGCCACAAAGAGGGTAAGGATACGAAAGGTGGAGTGAAGGTGATTATAAGAGACAAAGTGAGACATAAGATATTGTGTGTAAGAGCGTGTACCTTTGTGCAACTCAATGGGAAGATGAAGATCATCCATAGGCAGTGAAGAGGATCAACCAATGGAGTAGTGGTGTCAAGTGAGGTGGATGAGGATGGAGCTACACTCAAAGTGGAGGCATTGATAGAGAACGTGAGCGATGGAAGTTCGACGAAGAAGAGAGAGATAAAGAAGGAATAGAAAGAGGAAGATATGCGAGAAAGATAGAGGGTGGAAACCAAGGGAGTGGAAACCTGAATAAATGAGAAGATGAAGGAGATGGAGTAAAAAAAGGGAAATCCTCATGAAAGGTAACATCATTAGAGGTCACATAGTGATGGGTGTCAGAAAAGTATACCTGATAACCCTTTTGGGTGCGCAAGTAAACCACAAAAATATCTTTTAGAGCATGATGAGCAAGTTTAGAAAGAGATGACGAGTGATCATGAACAAAAGCGGTGCAGCTAAAAACCTGAAGAAGTAAAAAAAAAAAAAACATCAAGTACCTGAACAAAAGCGGTGCAGCGGAAAGAAGATGGTTTTTAAAATAAGTTTCAGTCAGGAAGTAAATCAGACCATAGGTAATGTGGAACATACATTTCAATGAGTAGTATGCGAGTGATGCCAAGTAACTGACAATGTTTATGCACGGTAACTCTATTATGTTGGGAAGTGTATTGACATATGATCTAATAAATAATATCACGATCAGTATAAAAAGTGCAAATAATATCTTGAACAAGTTCAAGTGCATTATTCATGTGAAAAACTTTAGGTGTGGTGGAACATTGGGTAGTAATCTTAATGATAAATTAAGTAACAATAGAGAGAACTTAAGACTGATCACAAAGAAAATAAACTTAACTCACACAAGTATAATAATCAATGAAAACAATGTAATCTAGATGTCTAGTGATAGAGGCAACTTGGGAAGGTCCCCAAACATCGTAATGAATAAAGATCAAATAGAGCCGATGATGAAATACCTGTCATGACTAAAATAAGATGAACGATGATGTTTGCTTAGTTGACATGACTCACACACAAATTTATTAAAAGACAATAACGATAAGATTTTTTAAAGTTTTAAAAAATAAAGATGGCCTAAACGACAATGTCACAAAAGAGAAGAAGTAGTAGTGGAAACAACAAAAAGTGTTCGAATGTCGAAAGAAGGTGTATTCAAGATAAGTTTGTAAACACTTCAATCATTCTCACA